AGTTAAAAAGAAGCTTCCATTTCCCTCTTTCCTTAATACATCCATGCATTCATGCAGGTGCTTAAGAAATTTTCACTGAGTGCTTAATATGGGCTAGGCACTGTTCTGGGCAGACACAGCAGGGAATAAATAGACAAAAATCCCTGTATTCATTGAACTTAAGAGTTCAGTGGGGAAAAACTTCAATTAAAAGAAACTAAGTTAAATGCTTTATTATATGTGACGTGGTAATAAATTCTTTGGAGAAGAGGCAAGTGTCATGGATTGAATTGTGTCCCCCCAAAATATCTGTCAACTTGGCTAGGTCATGATTCCCAGTATTGTATGACTGTGTACCATTTTGTAATCTGATGTGATTTCTTTATGTGTTGTAAACTCTATCATTATGATGTAATAAGATGAATTATCGGCAGTTATACTACAAGATTAGGTAGTGTCTTAAGCCAATCTCTTTCGAGATATAAGAGAGAGAAGCGAGCAGAGAGACGTGGTAACCTCATACCACCGAGAAAGCAGTGCCGGGAGCAGAGCGTGTCCTTTGGACCTGAGGTTCCTGCACAGAGGAGCTCCCAGACCAAGGGAAGATTGATGACACAGACCTTCCTCCAGAGCCGACAGAGAAGACAAAGCGTTCCCTTGGAGCTGATGCCCTGAATTTGGACTTGTAGCCTACTGGACTGAGTGAATAAACTTCTCTTTGTTAAAGCCATCCACTTGTGGTATTTCTATTACAGCAGCACTAGGTGACTAAGACAGCAAGGAATGGAGATAAAATATGTGTAGATGTTACAATTTTTAAAATGGGTTCCCCACTATGATCTTTGATCTTTGGTTAAAGACCTGGAGGAGATGGGGGGAACATGTGAATATCAAAGAGATAAGGGTTTGGGGCAGAGGAAGCAGCAAGTGCGGAGGCCCTAGGGAAGTAGTTTGCCCAAATATTCAAGGAAGGGCAAGGAGGCCAGTGGAATTAGAGAAGTGAAAGCTGGGAGCAATAAGAGACAGTCTGATGGGTTCCTGGAGACCAGGTTGTGTGGGGTATTATAAACCCTTGTAGTGATGGTGCTTTTATGCAGATTGAAATGTGGAGTCACTGGGGGATTTTGAACAGAGAGGCAGGTCTGAATTACAGTTTAATGGCATCACTCTGGCTTCTGGGTTGAGAATGCAAATGGGGTGGGGTGGAAGCATGGGCGCAGAAGCAGGGAAACCAGTTAGGAAGCCATTGGCTCTCTCCAGGTCAGAGAGCTGGTGGCTTGGATTAGCATGGTTTAATAGATGTGATGAAAGTGCTCCCAAAGCTAGTGCCAATAAGATTTCCTGATGGCTTTAGGTGTCGGGAATCAAGAATGACTCCATGGTTTTGGCCTGAGTAGCTAGAAGGATGGAGTCACCACAAATGGAAATGAGGAAGACTGAAGGGGAAAGGAGTGTGTGTGTTGTGGGTTGAAGGAGATCTGAGCTCAATTTTGGTCACTGTAATTTTAAGATTCCTATACGGTTGCTATAAGGAGCCCTGGTGGCGCAGTGGTTAAAGCGACTGACTGCGACTCCGAGGGAGAAAGATGTGGCAGTCTGCTTCCGTAGAGATTTACAGCCTTGGAAACCTTATAGGGTCACTATGAGTCAGAATCAACTGATGGATGTGGATTTGGTTTTAGGTTTTGGTATAGGGTTGTTATGAGTCGGAATCAACTCCACAGTACCTAACAATAACACCACCAGACATTCATGCAGAGATGACTGTGAGGATGGAAAGAAGCTTCAGTTCAGTGAGATCTCACTCTCACTCAGGCAGCCAAGACGAGTTTGTTCCCCAGGAATTCTTTAATGTGCCCCAGGCATAAAGGAAAGTCCCAGCAGTCACGTCAGCCTTTCTCCTGGCTGCATCTACTCCTCTATCCTTTTCCGGATTAGGGGGATAAGGGCTGGAGCAGAGCTATTTCAGGACGTGTCACTAGCTTCCATATTCACTGCAGAAGTGAAGCATGAAGGTAGTCCACCATGTCTATGTTTCTATTTCACCTTGAACTAGGCGAGCCTGGAGATCTACTTCCAAAAAATCAGCCAATAATAGCTCTATGAATTACAAAGTTCCAATCCTCTTGTGCATGGGGTTGCCATGAGTCAGGGGCTGACTGGACAGCAGCTAACAACAACCTCTACCCTTGACTGAGTGCTGAACCTAGTGGCCAGCTTCTAACAAATAGTCAGACAAAAGAGATGGAATGTCTCTACTCAAAGTAAGTTACAAAAGATCATGAGTTCTGTCTACTGGCATTCTTTCTCCCCCTGGCTCTTATCCTGTGATTGTTCTGAAGGAGAAGGTCACCTGGAAAGGTTGAGGGCAACTTCCAACCAAAAACCAGGAAAGAACTGAAGCCCTCAGTTCAACGGCCGCCAAGAAACTGAATGCTGCCAATGACCACATGAGGGAGTTTGGAGGCAGACCCTCCCACAGTCTAGCCTTCAGATGAAACTGCAGACTCTGGACCTCCACTTTGTTGCAGCCTTGTGAGAGACCATGAAGCACAGGGCCCAGCTAAACCATGACTGGATTTCTTACCTAAAGAATCGGTGATATAATAAATGTGCTGGTATAAACCACTATGTTTTGGAGTAATGTGTTAACGCATCAACAGAAAACTAATACACATGTCATATTCTCCTGGACACAGGCTATACAGTAAATATGGTGTGTAATTTTTCCCTCTTGAATTAGAGGATTCTTTCTAAGACCAAACTTAAAAAAAAAAAAATTGAATAACTATTAACATGCATGTATTGCAAAGAAAAAAAAAAAAAACACGAGAGAGAGAGATGGCTATGTCTTTCTACATCAAAAATTGGTTGCTGTGGAGTCGACTCGGATTCATGGTGGCCCTATGTGTACCAAAGTAGAACTGTGCGCCATAGGATTTTCAATGACTGATTTTTTGGAAGTAGATTTCCAGGGCTTTCTTCTGAGGTGCCACTGGGTGGACTTGAACTTCCAATCTTTTGGTTAATGGCCAAGCATGGTAACCATCTGCACCATCCACAGACTCCCTTTCTATATTAGCTATACTATATTAATACCCCAATAAACTGAGCAGATGGATCAGAGCTCCTCAGTTGAATTAAATATACAACTCTTCATACATAGACTTAAGCTTCTGCAAAATATAATCTTGGGGGCCTGACAACTGAAATTTTATTGTCTTTTAAAAATTAATTATAATACTTTAATTCCAAAACCAACACTTATTTATTAGGAGGAAAAAGAGTATGTACATAATGAGATAATGAGCAAAATAAAAGAAATAGAAACACCTATATTCATATACACACACTGTCAAGAAAAAAAAAAAAAAAAACAGCTGCAGTAGAGTCAATTCTGACTCATGGTGACCCCATGTGTTGCAGCAGAGTAAGAACTGCTGTCTTGTGATTTTTTGCAAGTAGATCACCAGGCCTTTCTTCTGAGACATCTCTGGGTGAGTTAGAACCACCAACCTTTCAGACAGTAGTGGAGGGCTTCATCCTTTTCACCACCTGGCGACTCCACACCGGGCCAAGGCCTGCATTTTTATTTATTACTATATCCTGAACATGTTTCCACGTCAATAGATGTTATCTTCATAATCTTAACAGCTATTGAATATTATTGCATTGTATTTTTTACTATAATGTATTTAGTGCTTGGTAAAGTTGAGGGTCATGGAAAAAGAGGAAGGCCTTCCACGAGATGGACTGACACAGTGGCTACAAGGATGGGCTCAAGCATAGCAACGATTGTAGGGATAGTGCAGGCCCAGGCAGTGTTTCCATTCTGTGACGCAGAACCTGACAAAACCTAACAAAGGCAACAATATATAACCCATTGCCACGTTTGGACTGTTAGCTTGTCTATTATTTTCTAAAACAATCAATCCGCAAGTTTTAAATTATAAAATATAAGTTTTTTAGAAGGTAAAGGCCATTTGGATAAGAAAATTTCACTGCGCACCAATTTTTAAAGCATGAGTTGCTCTAGAAACGAACGAATGTTTAGAGCTTCTATTTTAACTGCACAGATCCTGTAAATGGGCTGTGCAGTGTTCTGCGGGCAGAATTGTTAGTGCCCGGCTCCTGTTCTCCAGAGCTCAGGAAAGGAAAGGCCACCGTCTGTGCCATCTTCAAAACCTCTCAGTGTTTTCTATTCATTACTCACCCTGCTCAGGCTTAAACCATTAGAGGGATTGCTCCCAAATTCTGCACTCATCAGAAGTTATCTGTGGGGTTTGGTAAACAGACGTATTCCCTAAAAAATACTGTCGTATCTCATGTTACCTGTTGAGCCTTTCCTACCACTCCCCACCCCCACCCTCGCACCCCCTGCGATTCTCAGCATCTAGACGAGGCCTGCGCGCGAGGTGTCTCTAAGGATCGCGCTCCATGCCATCCTACGTTCAATTTCCTCCCCTTCAACAAGTGCGGGGCTGTGACAGCCAATGATGCGCCAGAGCCCATGTGGCGACAGGGGAAAATGAAAGCGTCAGTACTGCTGTGGCCAGCAACGCCCGAATTTTGCCACCAGCTTGGGGATCCGCTCACACTTCTTCTTCGTGGACCTCAGGTCGGGAGGTGAAACTCGGGGAAGCCCGGAGGAAGATGCTCGCGAGACCCACGGTTCCGGAACGCCCGCCGCCCTGCTAGGAACCCTGCATGAAACGGGGGGCACGCCTCTGCTGCCGGTCGGTTTTCCCCCAACCGCCGGGAACCGTCGCGAGCTCGCGAGGAGCTTTCAGGCTGGGGTGGGGTCCCGGCAACGCCCCTCTGCCGGCCGCTCGCACGCCCCCAGCCACGGTCCCCTGGGTCGGACGGCGGCGCGCCCGCGCTCTCAACCCGCCTCCTGGGGGGCAGGATTGGCCGGAGCCGCCCCGCGCCGGCGCTCATTCGCCCGCGCCTCCGCCCATTGGCGCTTGGAGCCGAGCCGGTAGGAGGCGGGCGGCCGCAAGGCTCTGAAGGCGGCTTGCAAGGCAGCGGCGGGAAGCCGGAGCTGGGACCTCAGCGCGTAGCTGTAACCTAGTCGGGCTCTCTCGGGCCCATACTCACCATGGACGCCCCCTCTACACCCAGGGGCTTCCTCAGGAAGTACCTGGAACACCTCTCCGGGGCCGGAATAGCCATTGGAGTCCTGACCAGCGGCGGGGATGCCCAAGGTGAATAGACGTCTCCCCAGCTCCTAGCACAGCAGGATGCGGCACGAAGGAGAGCGGGGCCGGAGGCTGCGGCCAGCGCACCCCAGGGGATGTGGCCGGCGGGCCGAGGCCCTGGGAGGGGTGGCCTGGAGCCCAAGCGACGAGGTGGGGGGTGGGGATGGGATGGGGGAGCTCCTGGGAAGAAGCTTCCAGCGCCCAGAAATGGCAGTGATACCTGTTGGGCGGGCGAGAGCGGGCAGGGCGCTTCTGGGGTCACTGGAGGTGGGGGTAGGGGAAGATACGATGATGAGGTCCTATTTTCAGGAAGAGTCAATTTTCCACCTCTGCGTTTAATTTCTAAATCGCGATTGCCGACTGGCTCGCCGTCGGAAGTCATTCTACGTCTGAATCGTAGAATAACAGCCAGGCGTGCCCACCGAAACTTAGATACAGCTCTTTGGCGGCCACTGCGGCTTCTGATGCCGCAACTTCCATCAGCTAGGTCTTTGTACCCTTCCGCCCTCCCCACCTCCTAGCCTTTGAAAATGAAATAGGAAGGAAAAAATGGTTAGATGTCCTGCGGCTCCTCCAGTGGATTGCTTCCTTGGCGGCGCGGGCCGGGGAGGGGGCTGCTTTGCTGCATTGCAGGGCCGCGGCGCGAGCGAAGGTCCCCGCCTGGGTGGTGCCCCTTTCGGCCTGCCACCACTTCTCATTTAAAGTGGGAGATTTTTTAAAAGGGTTTTCTCCACTCTTAAGTCCTGTCCCCTGTCGGCTCGTGACAAAACCGAAAATTAAAATGGATCACCAGGCCCTCTGTCTCCCAGCCTCCCCTCTGGGAAGGTTGTCCCAGCCGCGGCGGCAGGAAGCTGGAGGAGTCGCGGCACGTCACCAGCGCTCGGGGTGTGGACTCCAGCCGTGCCAAACCGGCACACACACACAGCCTGGAGGTGGCTTCGGGGAGCCGGGGACGCTTAGCAGAGGGCGACTAAATATTTAGTATTTTAAAAGGAGGGCTGGCACGACTGCGCCAGCGGTTTATAATCCTGCTGTGGGACCAGGATAAACACTCGGGCCCTAAGCCTTTTGGCACATGAGAGCGCTAGAGTTTCCAGAGAGAGTGATTCCCTGACTGTAAGTCATTCGTTAGTGGCAGAGCCAACAAACAGAAGTAGATTAGCGCCTCCCAGGCAAATAACTTCTCTTGCAGTTACTTCATGCCTTAAAGACTGCTCAGGCTGGAGGCTGGATTCCCTGAGTGGTTCCCTCCCACCCTCCACTCCTCTGCCCCTAATCCCAGATGAGTTGAAAAGGCTCTGAAGGTCATATTGTCACATTTTTCGAGGCCACACACAGTGGAGGGACGTTCAAGAGATGCACTGAGCCTTTCCCTTTTCCGCCTCACCTCGATGCCTTTGCCTTCTCCCCTCCGTTGCCCGTGACCTTTTTGCCCTTGAGCATGTGCAGACCGCCGGAGACGCGCATTGCGCGGCGACAGGTTGTGGCGCTGCGAGGCGCCGGCTCCTCCCTCCAGGCCGCGCAATGCCTACGTGATGCCCAGCCCGTCGCGGTGCCGCCTCCGCGCCCTGAGCCTCTCCGGCCACTCAGCGGTGATAGTGGGTCCCCTCCGGCCTCGTCTTGGCACTGTGGGTGGAGGCAAATGACGCAGTAGTGACTTGCTTCCAAGGCCTCTCAGCATCCTCGGAGGAGAGCGCCTGTGGCCAGGATGCTGCATGGGCCGGGCAAGACCTTTGTTCTATTACATAGCTACAATCCTGGCTCCAGTAACTTTCTCACCCAAATCGGGCCAGCCCTCCTCGATTCCGGTGAAGCAGTGTTGGTCTGAGTTAGTTCTAGTAAAGTAATCCTCCATATAAACATTACTCGATGGCTGGTTTCTAGGAGAAAGAAAATATTGTGATAAAACAAAGGCCAGAATTGGGAAAATAGGATAATTGATCGCCCAAGTTATTTAAATAAACAGCTTAAGATTTGTAGGTTTAGTGGGATTGAGGTGAGGTCTGGGGTGAGACTGTAGAGTGGCTTCTCTATCAGACGGCTTCAAAAGCATGAGTCCACAGACGTCATGCCAGGGCAAACTTGGAAGCTTCTCAAATGAATCTTATATGGGTGGTGAAAGAGAATGAAGTGTTGCACAGAAAGAGGAATTGAGCTTTTCCAGCACCAGGACTTCAAGAACAGGGTTTCAAGTTTATTTTAGAATTAAGGTGCCAAAATATTGGTCAGTCTTTTGAAATCCTTGTCCACAAGTTTGCCAAAATACTTGGTAGTTCATGTACAAGCACGTGAGATAATGGTGCAATGGATGGGATTACCATTTTCCCTACTTCGTATCCTGGTTCTGCTACTAGTTATGAATAATAAAGTCCACTAAGTCAGTACCACTTCTCAAGTAGCATCAGATATGATGGGCTGATTCTCAGTTGTCTCATCTGGGCTGTCCCTGGGAAAGCTACTCATGGCCAGTTGCCTGGGCACTCTTTCCTCAGGCAGTGATAAGGTCGTTGACTCAATTTTTCCTTAAACTTCTTGAAAACAGATATCTCCTCTTGTGATATTATCTTGGATCTGTTTGAGTATTTGGATACATTTCTTTCTGAGAAGGTCCCCTTGAGATGTGTTCAGAGTCTGGTCTCACCAGCAACAGATTTACTATTTACTGACCTTTAGAGTAGGTCTGAGCCCTGGTGGCATAGTGGTTGAGAGCTTGACTGCTAACCAAAAGGTTCGCAGTTTCAATCCACTAGCTGATCCTTGGAAACCCGATGGGACAATTCTACTCTGTCCTGTAGGATCACTGTGAATCGCAATTGGGAATTGACTTGACAGCAATGGGTTTGTTTGTTTTTTTTAGAGTAGGTTATTCCTAGAAATGTTATCTATTTTATCCCTTTTTTTTTTTTAACCATTTAATCTTAATTCGAAATTATAACAGTACTTAATTTTCCTTGAGATAGAAGACTTCTGTTGGGAGCTAATGATCAAGGCGAACACATTCAGACCTTCATTTTAGGGTAATTTTCTAATCAAATGTGAAATTATGATAAAATTCGATGTTGAGATGACTGTGTTTTTGTTAGTTGCCATCCATTTGGCTCTGACTTATGGTGACCCTGTGTACAACAGAACAGAACTGTGCCCCAGCCTGCACCATCTTCGCAAGCATAGACATGCTCGAGTCCACTGTTGTGGTCACTGTGTATTTTGAGTGCCTTCCAACCTACAGGGCTTGTCTCCCAGTACTATATTGGACAATATTCTGTTGTGATCCATAGGGTTTTCACTGGCTAATTTTCAGAAGTAGATTGCCAGACCTTTCTTCCTAGTCTGGAAGCTCTGCTGAAACCTGTCCACCATGCTGACCCTGATGGTAGTTAAAATATTGAGGGCATATCTTACAGCATCATAAATTGTAAGCCACGACGATAGACAACTGACAAGTGGTGGAGATGACTATGGCTACTGTTTACTGGGCGTAATTTTAATGTATTAGGAACTTTAAAATTCTTATCTCCAGATCTAATTACATCACTCCAAGATACGCATTTTTGTCTCCATTTTGCGTCGCTATGAGTCGGAATAGACACGTTGGCAGTGGGTTTGGTTTTTTGGTTTTTAACTGTGTCAGGCACTGAGTGTTTCAAGCATATAAATTTATCCTCATTTTACACATGAGAAATTGAAGCCTTGAGACTGACTGACTTCTCTGAGTTCACAGATCCTCTAAGTGGTGGAGTTGGGCTATCTGACTCCAAATTTATGCTCAATAGCTGCAGTAAGAATGTGTAGGCACCAGGGACCATATGTGTCTTATACACTGTTGCATTTCTGGCAGCCAGTGCAGTGGTAGACATGGAAATATTTGCTGAATTTCTTCTGTTTGGAATCTGAATTAAAGAAGTATGGGCCACTTTCTTTCACAAAATGGCAGGGGACTAGAAGTTCTAACTGTCTTCTTTTTTAATTAAGTCATTTAAGTCAAGTAAACCTTCACTCATCAAAAGTGCTCTATCCTCACCGCAATATTTGTGAACGATTAATGCCTCAAGATTAGAACTTTAAATACAGTAATCAGAAATGTGAGTTGCTGGTAGACTTAACCCACGTGCTCAGTTGATTCTTCCATTCAACAGATATTTGTGGAACACAAGTTAGTGTCTTGCTTTGACTTCCTTTATTTCCCTGATGCTTTGCTTGCATAAGAGCCCAGTAAGATGCAAACGGAATGTGATGGTTAAGGTTATGTGTCAACTTGGCTAGGCCATGATTCTCAGTGGTTTGGCAGGTATTATGTAATCATCCTCCATTTTGTGATATGAGCAGCCAATCAGGTGAAAGGCGAATTTCCTTTGGGGTGAGACCTGCATCCAGTATATATGGATGTTCTGGCAAAGCTTGCTCTCTTTGGATCCTGCATCAGACTTGTCATCCTCTGACCTCCAATTCTTGGGATGTAAGCCATCTTTAATAAAAAAATGCATGTGTTTCCCATTGATGATTGAAAACCAAAAGGTTTTGATAGAGAACTCAAACCTTTACTTACTCAGGGAGAATTATGGCTATTTTAAGTAAACTATTAATCTGATGGGTTACAAGACAGCATTTAAAATCATAAATATGAACATAAGGTAAAAGCTTGTTAAGGGCAAAAATCAGAATGCAAAATTGTACCTCTACTATGATTGTAAGTGGGAATTGATTCGACGGCAACTGCTTTGGTTTTTGTTTGGTATGATTATAATTATGTTAAAAATGTGTATTTGCATAAAGATCAGAAGACTAAGTTAAGGAAAGCAATTGAGTTACTTTTTCAGTAAGCTTTGTATGGTTTTATATTTTTGTTTATTAAAAAATATCTTCCAAGTGGCTCTAATTTCCTCTCACTACTCCTTTATTTGGTGCTTCTTTACCAGCATATACTTAGTTTGTTCAGAATTATGGTAATTGTACCTGTCAGGATATAAGAAGGCGTGTAGCATATGGCAAGAGCAGCATACTGAGAA